CAAAAATGGAGGACTGGAGATGTCTCAGTTCGAGCACTTTCTTCAAAAGAAACCCATTTTGGTGTCAATAGAAAAGTTGTAGAGAATCAAAAATGAGGCTTATAGCCAAATTTCCAAAAAGATACGCTCAGTAGTTTCGCTTAGAATGCAAGTTTTGGAACCGTATTAATCAAAATAGGTAAGCATTTCAATGTCTTTAAGTTTATTATTTCAGGAATGCGAGAAGAAGAGCTTGACAAACTTTCGACCTTTCCAATGATTGATTAAGATCTAACAACACTTTTTTTTAATCATTTAAATACTCATTTATTAATTTTTTGTGTAAATTTCTTGAACACTTTATTTGGTAAAATGCCTAAAATACAATAAACGTTGTTTAAAAACTTCAAAATATTTTGTGATTGATTCGAACTGTATTTTGAGATACAAAAGCCGTTAAACGATAGACTGAAAGACTGGATTTTTCAAAGTTCGTGTTTATTAGTTTTACTAAAGAGTAAAGAGCCTTTTGCAATACCAAAATTTGAGCTTTCTGTTTCAAATTTCATTTTTAATGTCACAACGTTCCATTACAAGCACTTTTACAAGTACTTTGAAGCTTTCTTTTGGAAAAATCTGCAAAAATGGGCTTGATCAAGATCTTAACAATAGAAATAGAACAATAGAAACAACAGAAAGCTTCAAAGTACTTGTAAAAGTGCTTGTAATGAAACGTTTTGATATTAAAAATGAAATTTGAAACTGAAAGCTCGAATTTTGGTATTGCAAAAGGATCTTAACATGCATCAAAACAATAGCAAAACGAATGTTTGCTATTCAAATTGACTTTGTGATCTGCGAGGCTGATCAAGGCTAGACCTGACTTTTGATGAGTAGCCAGCTTTTGGCTTCTAGCTGAAACTTTGCTCGATCCAATAAAATCGCTTTTGGAGCAACCCTGCAACTGTGCTTTGTGCTCTGTCAAACGTTTTCTGGTGCACTCAATTCATCTCTTTCCAACTCTAGACCTGAAATCTCAATCTATCCTCAAATGATCACTAAAATAATCTCTAAAATGATCTCACAGACATCTCTAAAATGATTCATTTGTGATTTGTGATCATGAACGTCTTTGCCAATACTTTTTTGCTTGTTTACGAGGAGAAAAAGGGCAAACTGAAACTACAAGGATAAATTGGGTGTTTATGGAAAAGATTTCGCAGACATTTAAAAGTCGATAAAGTTTAAATGAGTTCTTGTAAATGAAATCTTGAATGTTGTGGAATTGACAAAGGTTGGAAGGGAAAGATTAAGATAGAAAGGGTAAAAGAAAGGGTAATTACCTACCGTAAATAATAGATTCTATTATTAGCGACCACAACGGGCTGAAAATCGATTTTTTTTTAATTAAAAATCTGATCAATATCAATTTTTCTATGCTATCCAACTAAGAAAAATTGAAAGTTTTATTAAAATCTGTCTACTCGAAAAAAAGTTAATAGGGTGAAGAGGTTTTCAGGCTATTTGTTCTAGGTTTACATCTATTCTTTATCTAGCCGAGGAAGGAATTGAAGGAATTCACTGTAAGCTTGCGACGGAAATTGAGAAACATAAAATGAATGTTTCAAATTGAAAAAACACCATCAAATGGCTTGTAAGTGATGTCCTACTTTCAGATTCTGGAGACGCTTAAAGAACCGCTCATATCTCGACACCAGTATGTTTATTTCCGCCCGCTTTGGCATCAAATTAAAGTAGAGAGGATGGATGAGTTTTTGAGTTATAACATATATTTTTATCTTTAACCAGCGCCTAGAAAAAATGATTGAAAAATGGCAAAATTAGAAAACTAGGGGAGAACAAGACCTAATGCGCCACCAGGGACTGGGACTTTAATGTGCTAACCATTAAACCACAAGGCACTTATCCTCCCTTGCTCCAGAGGGAGTTAAGTATGATATCTTTTAGAAAACACATTAAGGTACTCGCTCACAAATTGTCAGTGAAAATCAGTTAGAAATCAATTTGATCACTATCCAGTTTTCAGTAACTCTCATTATGATATGACAAAAATATTTTACCTTAACTTGTTTATTTACTTACATGAACAGTTTCCCCTTTTGCCCACAAAGGTCACGTGTTCCTTTGCCTTTCCCTTTCCCCGATCAGTCTCCTTTTTCTTCATAATCTCATAATTGTCTCCTTTTCTCGTTTTTCTTCTTGATAAGATATGAAAAATCAGAATCGATAGAATTTCAAGAAGACATTATCAGCTTATTTCTTTTTTCCCTTCTAATTCTTAATCTCATTCCTTTTCCTTGGGAAATTCACTGTCTATTACTTTCAAAATATTTCATTTCGACTTCATCACTTCTTAAGAAACTTTAACTGAATTTTATTAACAAATTGCAAACGCACTCTTTCTGGTACATTAGAATTCCTAATTTTAACCTCAGTCTGTAAGAAATTAAAGATTAAAATGCACTAGAAAGGATGGGTTTCGATTTTTTTTTCTTTGAGCATAAAGAACACCTCTTGAAAGCACAAAGACAAACTTTTGATGCTTATTGAAGAGAAAATTTTGAGGAAAAATCGAATTTGAATTTCTACTTTGATGAAAATGTTCAAAAAATTGATGTCGGATTCGAATTTCACATCAAATTTTCTCAATTTAGTTTCAAAATTGTAAAGAGCAGGCAAAATATCCCTCTTTTTTGAGATTTATTCAAAGTTAATCCCACGGTTAATTCAAGGAGAGGTTCTTTCGTTTTAGAAATTCTTAGTTTTAGAAATTCCATTCACCTTCAATAAGTTTGTTTATAACTCTTTTCCAATAAGAACTGCCAGAATTTCGAATCCGAAATTCGAATTTGAGAGTTTTGAAAGAGTCCAATAGTCAAGAAACGTTTAAATTCTCTGTAGATGGAGCTTGAAGCTCTAGATTCTTGACTTTATCTGTGCTATCCATATATTACATACATTATATCGTCTTTCTTTTTAGCGGGCTTTTTTCGTGTTTATGCGTGAGAATCCATGTGTATTAATCTCAAATCTTGCACTCAAATATCTCAAATATTTCATGTCGTGTTTCTTTTTATTGAGCTTTTTTCGAATTCATATGTATTAAACTTAAATCTTGCGTACTTTATTTCATGTCCTGAATAAAGAATAAAGAATAAAGAATAAAAAAATATCAATTGACCTCAAAGGAGTGCTTAGTTCGACTGTTGGATTCACGTTCACGAATCAGCTAAAGAAATTCCCATTTTTTTTTTTCTAATTACTACTCCATTTTATTTTTAATTCTTCTTTACTTTGTAATCTGATTTTTGAAATTTGAAAGAATTTGAAGGAAAGAAAAGAAAGAGAAGAATTCTATCAAAAGAATTCAAAAGAATTAAAAAGAATTCAATCCTTTAAGCTTCACCTTTCCACAATGACGTTTTTCTTTAGAGTTTTATCAGTTTATCTTTGCTCGCAAAACTTGCTCGACCCCCTTAGACTTTTTCTTCGAAAATTTCTGTCATAGATCTTTGTATGTTTCTTTTTTTTTTTGATTAATGCTGAAAATTTGAATAATCTATTGAAAATGATAGCGAAAAAAAAGCGGTTTTTTCTGTTTTTCACCTTTATTTGCTAACTGCATTTCATTTTTTTCTAAAGTTTTTTTTTCGTTTTTGAAAGATAAACATTCAAATGGAAGTTTTAAATTTTCTAAAAGGTAACTTTGTAAAATGTCTATTTTTAGAGATGCCACTTCTACCGCCAATCAAACGACACCAAAACTCGACGAATTCAAGCGATTCAGGTAAACTTATTCTCATTTTAAAAGATCTCAAGTTATCGATTTTGTTTGAAATTTGTAAACGCACCCTTTCTGATGCATCTCTGTAAACAAAGGCTTTTGTAAACACAGCCTTTTGTAAACAAAGCCTTTAATTTCCTTATGACAATTCTGTTGTAAGAGAATGGAGAATGCGTCTACATTTTGCCTTAAATTTAAGCTTTGAATTTAGTCAAATTAAATTCTATTTAAAACCATTTATCTAGGTCACGATAGTCCGAATGGTCAAAGAGAGAAACGACTTTCGGAAGTGGATCAATTCGATGCATACGATCGACAAACGTTGATATTCTATGTGAATGGGCAAAGGATTGTCGACGAATCGATCGATCCGAGGACAACGCTCGCCAACTATTTAAGGGATCACTGTAAGTCGATAAATTCGTGTGCTTTGAAGGCTGAAAATCTATTATGAGCAAAAATACCATCTAGTTAAGCATTTTCGAATGGCTTCAAAGCTAGTAAGAAAGATTTGGTCAAAGCTGGGCAAGGCCAGAATACGACAAGTCGCAAATGGCCAAGTCAAGCAATTCGAAAAGTTATCTCAAGCATTTAAGCAATGGTAAGGCATAAGGGCCTACTTTAACGGCAACGGACAGGTGGTCGTGTAGCTTATTGGTAGAGTGTTCGCCTAGGAAGTGAAAGGTCGAAGGTTCGGGTTCCAGCACCGGCAGCTGGTCCAGCAAAAGGACCAACTTTCTGTTCAAAAATCGAAAATCTAGGCTTCTGGTATTGAGCCTGAAATTTTGATTTTAACCATCCCTGCATGCAGTATTATTCTATTAACATTCGAGCATTTTAGTGAAACTAACGGGAACGAAGATCGGATGTAATGAAGGTGGATGTGGAGCGTGTACAGTCATGATATCAGAGATCGATCCAATCTCCCAACAAATACGGTTCTTTCTAATCACACATCTTAGAATTAGGCTGTGTTCTTTATCGTTTTCTAAAAAGTGTCAACTTTAAAGCTTTTTAAAACATTTAAAACATTTAAAACATTTAAAGCTTTTAAAGCTTTTAAAGCTAACTTTGCTTATTTTTTAGCCAATCAATCCATTTTTTTGAACAACAAATGCTTAAAACTCGTAGAATTTCGATAGTTTTTAAAAGATAACACTTTTTAGGAAACGGATTACGATACTTTTACAGACATTTCTCGGCGAATTCCTGCCTAATGCCCGTTTGCGGCGTTTTCGGCAAAGCGGTGACAACAGTTGAGGGGATTCGCGGAGTTGAGGAAAGAGTTCATCCCGTACAGGAGAGACTCACGAAGTAAAACATTTCAATATATAGACGAAGATCATATTCTTATTTTAAAGCAATTTAAAACTCATTTAGAGCTCATGGCTCTCAGTGTGGCTACTGTACGCCCGGGTTCATCATGGCCATGTACACTCTATTGAGAAATAAACCCCAGCCGACGAAAGACGATGTCGATATAGCAATTCAGGGTAGCTCTAGGGAATAGGGAATCTAGAAACTAGAGATCCATAAGCTAGAGATCTATAAGTTGGAGATCTATAAGCTATAAATCTATAAGCTATAAATCTATAAGCTAGAGATCTATAAGCTATAAATCTATAAGCTAGAGATCTATAAGCTATAAATCCATAATCTATAAACTATAAAGATTTTCTGAAAACATTTGCCTCTTTCAGGAAATCTCTGTCGTTGCACCGGTTATCGTCCGATTCTAGAGGCTTTCTATAGCTTTGCGAAGGATGAGAAAGGAGAGATCAAGGTTTAAATCAAGAAAAATGCAAAAAAAACCCCACAAAGATGACTTCTAAAATGATTTCCAAAAACAAATTAGCATGTAATACTATAGTTTTTTTTAATTCTCATAGCACTTGCACTCAAAATTGTTGATCAAGTTCTTAAAAATTGATCGATTAAGCTTTTCAAAAAGTCTTTTCGCTTCTTTTCATAATTTTGTTCAAAAATAACAAATTTGCCACAATTAATCTATAATTTTCTCTTAAGAAAAGCTCCTTTTTGTTCAATTTTTTCAATTTCGATCTTTTTAAGTCAAATTTAGTCCACTTAAATCACAAATTCAATAGTGAAAACCGTGGTTTTCGTAAAAAAATTCTTTAAAAACCTCTACGAAGATATTGGCAGAATGAATTTCGATGAAAATTTAGCTATATACTAAACTCTTTATGCTCTATCTTTTGTCTATTGACATTATATTAAAGATAGGTTTCCTTTATGTCAAAATGGTGAAACCGTATCATCGAGTCGACTTTTTGACTACTCGACTTCTGCTCTTAATGCTCTCAAAGAAAAACCCAGACTTAAGACATTTGAAAACCGTTTTAATGTTATTTTGGAGAAAAATAATTGGATAATTGGCCTTTCTGATGAAATAAACCGTAGTTCAATTGATGCATTTGTTAGTTTTAAATGAAAGTATAAAAAGAAACGAAAAGCGAAAAGCTTAATATTGGGTTGATGAATTGAAAACTGCGGGCTATTGTCATATGTGACAGTTTGAGCACTTTCTTCAAAAGAAACCCATTTTGGTGTCAATAGAAAAGTTGTAGAGAATCAAAAATGAGGCTTATAGCCAAATTTTCAGAACGATCCAAAAACTGGTTTTCAAGAAATGCCAAATTTTAGGAATTTTCACAAAACTTGCATTTTAAGCGAAACTACTAAGTGTATCTTTTTGGAAATTTGGCTATAAGCCTCATTTTTGATTCTCTACAACTTTTCTATTGACACCAAAATGGGTTTCTTTTGAAGAAAGTGCTCAAACTGGGCTGACAGCTGACATCTCCAGTCCTCCATTTTTGAGTCTCACACTTGTCTCACACACAAACCAAAATCCTACTACGAAAGAGGAATCCGCAAATTGCCTGTAAAATGGGCACAAGTCGTCAATAATAATGGAAATTATTTTGGAATGAATTCATGGTTTTATGTTGAATAAATTTTAGTTCAAAGTCTCCCAGTTTTCAATTCACCAACCCAATAATTTAGGTGACTGAAAACGGTTGTCCGATGGGTGAGAAGTGTTGCAAGAATGGTGGAGATGGTTGTGGAGGTGAAAGGAAAACGGTTAGTTTATATCAAAAATTTGGCTTTTTTTCATTTTCTAGAATTCTATATCCATTCTTCATTACATTTGGGACTTTTTGAGCTTTGAAATGGCCCCAAGTTTACCTAAGAAAACTACGCTGAAATTAGCTCTATTCTATGAAGTCTATTAAATTAAATCTATTAAATCCATTAAAATCTCTTATTCTAATAAATCTTTTAAATCAATTAACCTATTAAACTCTATTAAACTATCCGTGAAAAAAGAAAACGTCTCTAATCAAACGCTATTCAGCTAATCAAGCTCTCCGACATGTCCAAATGTGTTCCATACGATCCATCGCATGAACTCATCTTCCCACCCGAGTTGAAGGTGCTTTTAAAAGCAAATTATTTTCACCTAAAGATATTCAGTTAAAAAACTTCCACCAGCAATCATTTTTCCACGATTCGAACGGTCACAAATGGTATCAACCAACCGATTATTCAATGTTATTGGCGTTAAAGAGGTAACTTTATTTTTAAAAGCTATTTCTATAAGACAAGGGATATTGATAGATTTGATAGATAGACTTTGATTTGATAGATATAGATAGACTTCACTGGAGATTTGATAGGTATAGAGAGACTTCACTGAAGATATAGATCTTACCGTATTTTCTCTAATAGTTGTGCACCAAAAGCTTTGCCTAAATTCCTCGAAATCTCGAGAACCGCTTATCAGAACCTATCGATGTGGGGTCGGAAAATGTAGCTGACGATGAGATCTAGTCGGGGATTTGAGTGTGGAGCTTCTGCAAAAGCTTGGAAACCGTAAAATACTCACCAACTCGGCTCGCTTGGGTGCACTACTATTAGAGAAAATACGGTAGATAGATTTGCTAAAAACTAGAGCCAAGATTACAATAGTTTTGACACTTTTTAGAAAGCATCCACATGCACGGGTCATTTCGGGGAACTCGGAGCTAGCTATTGAGTTGAAATTTCGCTTCATCAATTTGGAGATGGTCATCAATCCGAGACAGGTTTGAGGGAGAAGATTTTGAGAATTCTATATATAATCTATTAGAATATTAAGTCTAAATATCTATCAGATATTTCTATCAGCTTAAATTAGGTTTTTTTAAGGTTCCCGAGCTGCACGAGCATCACCTCACCGATGATGGAGTCTATCTTGGAACTGGACTCTCGCTGAGTCAAATGGAGGACGCGTTGAATGAATTTTCAAAGGATTTACCTGGTACTGAACTTTAAAGTGTACTTTGTGCTCCCTGGCTTACGCGATTTTTCATTTTTCCGCTATAGAAAAAACAGGAGAGCCAGTACGTCAGAAGAAGTTTGTTTACAGCTTTGAGCACAAAGTACACCTTTCAGAATCGATTTGATTTGATATCTAGCAAGTTTTTGATAGAATCTTAGAAGATAAATCAATTTTAATGTACAGAGGAAACTTTAGAATCAAAAACGCGTGTCTTCAAAGCAGTGCTTGAGATGTTGCATTGGTTTGCTGGGAGACATGTGCGAAATGTGGCGGTGAGTATAGCTAGATATCAAATCGATTCTGAAAGGTGTACTTTGTGCTTTCGGAATCGATTTGATTTGATATTTAGCAAGGTTTTGATAGAAATGAAATGATCATTGGGTTTCAGTCTCAATTTGACTCTTGAGTTCGACTTGAGTTTGACTTGAGTTTGACTTGAGTTTGACTTGAGTTTGACTTGAGTTCGACTTGAGTTCGACTTGAGTTTATCCATTTTCTCTTTCCAGAGTGTGGCCGGCAATATCGCCACCGCTTCACCAATCTCCGATTTGAATCCGATATGGATGGCGTCGAAAGCAAAGGTCGAAAGCAAGCAACAGATCAAGCTTTATATATTAGTTTGGAAAGAAAGTTCTTGGAGAAAGATTGGACGGTGATTTCTTAAAAACGAAGCCATTAATTCTTCCCAAATTTTTTGATGAACTTATTTCAAAAAGTTTTTAACAAAAAGCAGAATGGGCTTCAGGTAAAAAAAGAGATTTCTTTAGCTTTGGTAGAAAAAGATTTGGTCACTTTTTGAGTGATCAACCTTTAGACAATCTTTTAATGGGTTAATGAATAGGCAATTGGTCGCATTCAGTTGGCCAAAAATATAGATTAGAAAGCGTATTGCTCATGCTCATGCTCATGCTCCACGAGTAATTTCTTGGAGTTGACTTGTAAATAGAAGTAAATAATAGAAGAAAATGTTCTTGAATTGGTGGATTCGCTTTGAAGAAATTCCAGTCAAATTAGCTTTTTCCGAGAAATTTCTTTTCAACCTAATAACTTATATTTCGAATTTCGAATAGTTAAGAAGAAATAATATTATAAATTTAGGTAGTTCTTGACTCTGAGGAACGCGGCGAACGAACGCTGACCATCGACGAGAAATTCTTCATCGGTTATCGCAAAACGGTGATTCGACCGGATGAAATTGTGAAAGCGGTCATCGTTCCTTTCTCGAATGAAGTGAGTTCACAAGGCTTTAAAGCCTTTCACAGTTTTGTGAGCTGTGAAAGGCTGTGAAGTGAGTTCACAGTGAGTTCACAAGGCTCAGTAAACAGTAAACAAGTAAACAAGTTTAAACCGACAAGTCTCTGGGCCAACCAGAAGTCAAACCTGGATCAACCTGGATTTGACTAGGGAATAGCGCCAACTTAAGTCAACCTTTTTAAATCTAGCTTATCTGATAGAGTTTCAAACGCTGATTTCAAATCTGATTTTAATTTCACTAACAGAGCTCTGTATCACGAGTTATCTTGCAAAGAAGTTTAGGTCGCATTGTCCAGGTTTATATAGGCCTTCTTGCTTCCCGCCAAACGTAGCGACGTAGTGTAGTGGATAGTGTGCCCGCGTGCGGCCCTTAATGAGGCCGGTTCGAATCGGCTTACCGTCAAATCTTTTTTGTTTTCTGCTTAAAACAACTAAAAACCATTTTTAAGTATTATTCATTCAATGCGAATGAATGGTCGCTAATATTCTCTCGCGCTTCTCTCATAGTTTAAGCTCAGGCTATAGGAGAAAAGGGCAAGAATTACTATTTCAAAGAATTCTGGGAAACGGGTTAGTCAAAAGTGACGTATTTCTATTTAGAACGAGCATTTCTACGCCTACAAATTGGCGCAACGACGCGAGGATGACATCGCGATTGTGACCGGAGCGTTTAGGTTATTGTTTTTAAATAGAAATTTATTTATTTGATGATTCAAATCGTTCAGTTTCTTCAAATTTAAACTTTTCCAGAGCCCAAATGAATCCAAAAACGCAACTCGTCGACAATCTCTCGATTTCCTACGGTGGAATGGACATTTTCACGCGTTTGGCTTTGAAAACGGCTGAGAAACTCGCTGGAAAGTTGGTTTTTAGAGAATTTTATATGTATTATAGATTTATTATAGATTTATTATAGATATATTATACCGTAAATACTATAATAGTACCCCACCCCCATAATGGCGGTGCGGCGTGTTGTGTAGTCTAGCTTTGAACGAGTTTTTCTCGACACTGGTTTATGCTACAATGTTCGTTTTGGTATCAAAAAATAGCCCTGAATTTCAGCTATTTTTTTGATACCAAAGACGCATTTTTTGAAAGTACGGGCGCTTTGAAAAAATGAAATACGAAAAAACTTTTGCGACTACGCGACTGTACGAGGGCGGTGGGGGCTGTTACAGTATTTACGGTAGATATATTAGAGATATATTATAGATTTATTATAAATATATTATAGATAGAATAATCCAAAAATACTTTAGAAAATGGGACAAAACTTTATTGGATTTGGGATTGAATTTGATCTCGGAAGAGTTCACGCTTAAACCCGATGTACCCGGTGGAATGGCTAGGTGGGAAATTTCGAATTTCCCCCCCAATCACAATCGATTTTTCAGATTCCGTCAAACGCTCACTTTATCCTTTTTCTTCAAATTTTTCCTTCAAGTTGCGAAAAATCTTCAGGTATTGTGTGCTTTGTGTTCGAGATTGTGAACAAAGCCTTCAGAAATCCATTCAGATCTCTATCGATCACTGTGTGGAGAAAACCGAGATCGGAGACACGATTCCGCATACATTAAACGCCACACAATTGTATCAGGTAAAAATTATCATTAAATAATGAAGTTTGTTTAGAAAAAGATTCAGTATTTGAGCACTTTAATTGTTTGAGATTCACTGTTTGAGCATTCTAATTGTTTGAGATTCACTGTTTGAGCACTCTAATTGTTTGGTTCTTGGCCCAATGTGAGCCAGGTCAAGTTGGTTCACTGTTTGAGCTTCTATTGTTTGAGTTCACTGTTTGGCCTCTAATTGTTTGAGTTCCTGTTTGGCCTCTTTGTTTGAGTTCACTGTTTGGCCCTTTGTTTGGTTCCTTTGGCATTCTATTGTTTGGTTCCTGTTTGGCTTTTTGTTTGAGTTCCTGTTTGGCTTTTTGTTTGAGTTCACTGTTTGAGCATTCTAATTGTTTGAGATTCACTGTTTGAGCATTCTAATTGTTTGAGATTCACTGTTTGAGCACTCTAATTGCCCGTACTCCTGCCAGAAGTTTCTTCGACTGTAAAACTTCAAATTTGCTATCATTTGAAATGTTTTTCTTTTTCAGAATTTAGAGAATCTTGTATCTTGTAATTTGTAGCTTGTAATTTGTATTTATGTAAGTATTGAAATTGTATAGAATTTGTTTCAAAAATATAGCCAAATTTTAAGGCAAAATTGATCTCAAAAGTTTTGGCCTAGTAACGGAAAAAACAAGCGGAAATTGACTCAGTTGTGCCGGAAAATTTGACGATAGTCAGTTCAAAATTGTTAAAACTTTTAGCTGAAAGGTCCTAATAATTTTCTAGGAAGTTTCAAAAGATCAACCGATTCACGATCCAGTGGGAAGACCACTCGAACATGTGAGTGGAGAGAGACACACAACTGGAGAAGCCATCTATACAACGGATATCGAAATTGCTGGTAAAACTATATAAAGTCTTTGAGTGGTGTACTCAAGTCTTCATCTTCTTCATCTTCTTTATCTCCTTCATCTCCCTTATCTCCTTCATCTTCTTCATCTTCTTCATTCAAATCTTTAGGATGTCTCCATTCAGCTCTTGTCCTCGCACCAATTGCTTGTGGAACAATTGACAATGTCGATCCGACAAAAGTACGGCATTGAAAAGTTATAGTTTACAGTTGACAAGAAAACTGTTTAATAAAAGAATTCTTTTAAGTAAAGCTTGAGATTTATAGACTCTCCAAAAAGGAAACTCGTGTCAAAAGAAGCATAAGATTTTAGGCTCTAGAGATGGATGGTGTCATTGCTTTCTTTGATGCTTCTGATTTGCCGACAAATGAACGAATGGGTCATCACTCAGATACGCCGATTTTCGCGAAAGATCGAGTGAGAGAAAAGAATTTTATTTGAAAATAGCAGTAATTGAATATTCTTTTAGGTTTCCTATCATTGCCAACCAATCGGTATCATTGTTGCGAGAGATCACGAGACGGCGAGAAGAGGAGCGAATGCTGTTGTTGTACAATGCACGGCTGAGAAACCGATTGTCACGATTGAGGTTGGAGAAAAGATTTCTCAGAATTAGAGTAATTAGAAAGTTTGATATTAGATCATTTTGAATATCGATTAATGAATAGAATTTGAATGTGAATGTACTCAAAAAGTTTTTGCGGAAACTAGAAACTATTCGTTTCTAGGTATAAACGGATATGGACTAGAATTTGGGTTAAGCTAAAGGGAGTGGATCCTTTTGATATCCCGCCATCTCTAACACCCCGACAACCCAACTCAACTCCTCCAACGTATTAGAGGGGAGTCCCTGTGAAATGACCGACCTGTACTGCAGTTGCATACTGTAATGCAGTACTGGAAGATATGTATCTTTATTGACAGTAGTACGATAAGACGAATAGATTACAAATGAGTGAAAGGGGAAGGAGGGACTCCCAAATGAGAGTCTCAATTGTCCTCCTAGGCAATCCCAAGGCCTCACTTGTCTTCCTAGGCAATCCCAAGGATCTCAATCCAAGGATGAAAGGGATAAGCACAGGGGAGAACACATTTGCATAAGAATAGACAAATAATAATCACAAATTATTCAATAATAAAAATAGTAACTAAAATATCAGTTTGGCTCGGAGCTGACAAAACCACAAATACAGTTTTTGTAGAAACAAATCTATTATAGAACTCTCGGAGTGTTTAAAGTTAAGTTTAAAATAAAAGAGTCGAATTTTCTAAAACTGCTTGAAATTTTATTGTACTGGAGCAGATTTTGATGGTTTGATGGACCCGCCCCTTTTCCCATTAGCAATCTAACTTTGAGCTCAAATATCTTCGTGTTAAACTGTTCAATTTAAATATTCTTGGTATCATTAGATGCGCCAAGTCTTTCTCTGTCGATTGGTACAAAAACTATTTAAATTGGACAGGCCAATGGCGAGAAATTTGAGCTCAAAGTTAGATTGCCAATGGCAAAGGGGCAAGGCCAGAAAGACCTTTTATACGCGCCCCGCCCCTTTTCCCATTACCAATCGAACTTTGAGCTCAAATATCTTCGTGTTAAACTGTTCAATTTAAATATTCTTGGTATCATTAGATGCGCCAAGTCTTTCTCTATCGATTGGTACAAAAACTATTTAAATTAGACAGCCGAATGGCAAGAAATTTGAGCTCAAAGTTGAATTGCCAATGGCAAAGAGGAAGGGGCGCATATCAAATGTCTTAAAATCTATTTTGATAAAGCTTTTCTCAGGAAGCTAGAAAAGCTGATAGTTGGATACTGGATGAACTCCAATTGCACTCACAACTCAATGAGGGAAATGATGTGGTGAAGAAGAATGATTGGTAAATGAAGTTCGGTCGATTCACATAGAAATCGTTTAGGTCAAAATACACCCGAGTGATCGAAGGAGAAGTGAAAATGGGAGGACAAGAACATTTCTATTTTGAGACGCACAATTGTATTGTGATACCGAAAGAGGTTCGGATTTTTTGATGATTTTTATAATATGATTGATTTGATGACTTGATTTCAGAATAATAGTTTAGAAAAATCTTTTCAACAGATTATTTAATTATAATTAGCAACATTTTAAACAAGTACTAGCTGTACTAGTTGTTTTTAACTTTAGTACTAGTTGCACTAAGTTGTACTAGTTGTTTTTAACTTTAGTACTAGTTGTACTAAGTTGTACTAGTTGTTTTTAATTTTAGGATCGAGCGCTTGAGGTGATCGTCTCGACACAGGGAATAAACGATGTTCAAGTGAGTGTTGGAATCAAATTTCGATTAATTCTAACATTTTAGACTATTCTTGCCTATAAACTGATCCAGTTTATAGGCAAGAAACAAAATTATCTAACTTTTAGCCTTGTCTTCATCCAGCCTTGAATTAGCCAAGTTAGTTAGTTCAAGGACTTGCTGGATGTGTTTGACACGAAAGCATTGAAGCTATTAGAAGCAAACGTTTGAGTGTAGTTGAGTGCACTAGAAACGGTGTGTGACACGTTGTAAGCACAAAGTATACAAAGAAAAAAAAGTACTTTAGCTAAATGCATTAATTTCCAGACAGAAATCGGCAAATGTTTGAGCATTCCGCGTCACAAAATCGTCGTCAAAGTGAAGAGAATTGGGGGTGGTTTTGGAGGTTTGTTCATGCTAAAATACTATAAAATACTACAAAATACAAAATACAAAAAGATCTCAAACAAAAGCTTTCAATGTTTCAGGCAAAGAAACAGCGAGTCCATTAATCGCTGTACCGTGTGCATTGGCGGCTATGAAGTAAGAAGAAATTTACATATGAAATCCATTTTTTTCTCAGACTGAAAAAGCCGGTTCGTCTCTACTTGGAGCGTTTCGATGATATGGCGATCACAGGAACAAGACATCCATTCAATTTCAACTATAAGGTACTGGAAAATCGATTTCTATGAATGCTTTAAATTGGCTAGAGCCCTATTGTAAAGAGTCTATGGTCAATCCTTTTCCAAAATCTTCAGCTCTTGAACTTTCTGACTGTTTTCACTTAGATACTTAAGTTGAAAAGTTGGATTAAACATTATAAAGATCAAAAGTTAAAGCTTGATCATCATTCTCCTATTCTTATCACCTTGTTTTCAGGTAGCTCTCTCCGAAGACAATCACCTCATCGACTACGATGTAACAGCTTATGCAAATGGAGGACATTCACTTGATTTGAGTACCGGTGTATTGAGTAAGGAATTTTAGATATAGCTGAGAATGTTTTAAAGCCAGATCCAGGCCTGGTAAGGCCAGAGCTCGAGTACGACTTGCAGTTAATAAAGGAAGGAAAGTAAGGAAAGAAAGAAAAGAAAAGGTGAAGAAAGATTTTCCGAGAGGGGATTGAACCCGGCCTGGCAGATCGTTTTGCTTTCCTAACCACTGAGTTATCCGATATCTTTTTGCCAGAGAAGGAAAAGGAAATACAAGGGGGAAGAGAAAGAAAGAAAGAGAAAGAAAGAAAGAAAGAGAAAGAGAAAGAGAGTTAAGTCAGACTAAGTCAGTCAGCTTTGATCAAAAGACCAAAGCCAGATCTGATAAGGTCAGAAGCCAGATCCGGATCCTGGTCTTGTTTCAGACCAGAACCAAGGCAATATCTGGATTTCGACTTGCCTGGTCCTACAAAAATCTGTTCTGAAAAACAACTGGCAATAGTTGTAGCTTTTATATAGCTTTTTATCCAATTCCCATTTCCAGCTCGAGCCATGGTGCACATCGACAATGTGTACAAATTCAAAAACGCTCACATTTACGGGCGAATCTGTCGAACGAACACCGCATCGAATACAGCTTTTCGAGGATTTGGAGGCCCACAGGTTTCCAAATTCTCGTTTTTCAAACAATATTTCAAATTAGGGAATGTTTTGCACGGAGACACTGATGAAACAATTGGCGGAGACCTATGATTTGGATGTGGATGAGGTTGGAATAAGATTTGCTCGTCTAGGAATCATCAACATGATAAAATAGAATTTATTTTGATCACAATCCTACCGTAAATACTGTAATTGGACCCCATGGGGTACTATTTTTTCCCTCCCCCTCTAGGGTGGGGTACTATTAGAGGGTGGGGCACTATTAGAGGGTGGGTTACTATTTTACACCACTATTCGAGTTACCAAAACAGGATACATTCAAATAATTTGTTCAAAAGCAAACTTTTTCTTTAGTTTTTATTGGTTTTAGCCACTTGAAAATTTAACAGCAAAACGAAACATGGGGAAAACGAGGCTCTATTTATTTTTTGACTGGAATCGAAAAAATAGTCTTCTGCTGGCAAAAGTGCCATTGATTGAAAGGGAATGTTGTCAATAAAAATATCATTTATTTCGGTTAAACTCTTTTAAAATTTAATTACAAATTCAAATTTAGATAGATACCGTAAATACTGTAATAGTACCCCGCCCCCACAATGACGGTGCGGAGTGTTGTGTAGTCTAGCTTTGAACGCGTTTGAACGAGAACTGGTTTACGCTACAATGCGCGCTTAGGTATCAAAGAATAGCCCTGAATTTCAGCTATTTTTTGATACCAAAGACGCATTTTTTGAAAGTACGGGTGCTTTGCAAAAAATGAAATACTAAAAAACTTTTGCGACTACGCGACGGTACGAGGGAGGGTGGGGTACTATTACATTTTTACAAATTCAAATTTAGATAGATACCGTAAATACTGTAATATTAGGTTGTCCAATAAGTAATGCGTGTTTTGACACGATTTTCAAAATATCACAAAATTAACAAAAGAGAACTTATTTATTAATCGATATATTCTCCACAACAATCAACAACATTTCTCCATCGTCCGAGCAAAGAGTGAAGTCCGTCATAATAGAATGAAGCTGGTTTCGATGAGTAACATCGAAATAAGTAACACGCATTACTTATTGGACAACCTAATATTAGAGGGGTGGGGTCCAATTACAGGATTTACGGTAAGAGAATCAAGAGACAAAACAAAACACAATATTCTCAAATATCTTTTTTTTCAGTTGAGAGAGAAAAACTTGTATAACGAAGGTGATATGACACCGTTTGGGATGCATTTACGGAAGTGCAATATTCGTCGAACATGGCATGAATGCAAAGAGATTAGTCAATATTTAGAGAAAAAGGGAAAAGTCCAGGAATTCAATAGGTAAATTCGGAAGGAAATGAAGAGAAACACACAATGCTTACAGGAAGAATCATTTCCGGAAACGTGGCCTCTACATGATGCCGACGAAATTCGGAATCGGTTTCGGGTTGAAGTTCATGAATCAGGTGTGGCTTAAATCCCTCAAAAATCTTCTCAAATCTTCTCAAATCTTTCTAAAACGTTAAAACAATCATAAACTTGTCTTCTTGCTTCTGTTAAACGATTCTCTCATTCAGGCCTCAGCTCTTGTCTTGATTTACACCGATGGAACCGTTTTGATCTCACACGGTGGAATGGAAATGGGACAAGGCTTGCATACAAAAATTCTACAAGTAAGCGCAAAGTTTAGCAATTGATATTGATAAGTGATTGGGTATTAGAATTATATACAAAGTGTGGTCAAAAATAGGCTCAAAAAAAGGGTCAAAATAGGGACAAAATAGGCTCAAAAATAGGCTCAAAAATAGGGTCAATAATAGGCTCAAAAATAGGCTCAAAATAGGGTCAAAAATACGCTCAAAAATAGGCTCAAAAATAGGCTCAAAATAGGGACAAACCCAATACCAACCCAATACTCAAACAATAGGGTCAAAAACAAGTACAATACCAATAGGCTCCAATACCAATAGGGTCAATAAGGGCCAAAAACCAATACCGATTTTGTTAATTAGCAAACCAATACCAATACCAATACCAATACCCAATACCAATACCAATACCAATACTTGAGATTGCCGCCAGATGTTTGGATATCCCGATCGAGTTGATTCACGTCGAAGAGACTGCAACAGATAAGGTGAAACGTTTGAAAAGTCTACAATTTACTTTCAAAATTTCTCATCTAGATTTGAAATTTTTATTCAACTATTCTAGGTGCCCAACTCTATGCCAACAGCTGCCAGTGTTGGCTCGGATTTGTGCGGAGTGGCTGTCGAGGACGCATGTCAACAACTCAATCAACGTTTACAGCCATATAAAGATAAAATGAAAGAAAAGGCATGGAAAGATTGGATCCAAGCTGCACACATTGATCGAGTCTCGTTGTCGGCTTCCGGCTTTGGAATGTGAGTTTAATATAGGCCATGAGCTTGAGCAAATCTTTAGGTATTATGCCCAGGGATGGCTTCAAAAGAAAGCTTCAAAGTACTTGTAAAAGATCTAGTTGAGGGTGGTGGGGAGAAATAACAAAAGCTTTATGCTATTTAAGGTTTACTGAAAGCACCGTTTTAGCATTCACAACGAGCCAGTTGACTTCTTTAATGGAAAAGGTGCGGAACTTTTCGGCTACTGTGTTTATGGAACGGCTTGCTGTGAAGTCGAGATTGATTGCTTGACGGGTGATCATCGAGTGAGTAAAAATTCTTTAAAATAAAGAAAATCTTTGTGCTAGGTAATTGGATTTTCGTTTGATTTGAATTAAAAGAATCTCAAGCGCTAGAATAACGTTTACCGTATTCTCTCTAATAGTTAGTTAGTTAGTTAGTTAGTTAATTAGTTAGTTAGTTAGTTAGTTGCCCTGAGCCCTTAAGCCTCGCCTAAATTCCTCGAAATCTCGAGAACCGCTTATCAGAACCTATCGATGTGGGATCGGAAAATGTAGCTGACGATGAGATCTTGTGGGGGATTCGAGTGTTGAGCTTCTGCGAAAGCTTGGAAACCGTAAAATAGTCATCAACTCGGCTCTACTATTAGAGAGACGGTATTTCATCGTTATCTTGATTATTTCTTAGTTTTTTATGAATCTATAAATCTAAATAGTTCTGCATAAGAAAAAGACCGGAATAGCATTCATAAACCCTTATAAACCCTTTAATGAGCCTAATTTTGCTTATGCTAATTAATTATGCTTATTTTGGGGTGTGGGATGCGCTTGAAATGATCGATTTTACTTTTTCTTTCTCCAGTTGATCGTAAATGACAAGTGTTTGGTTGAAAAGGGAAATCAAAAAGATTCTAATGAAAAACTCAATTGAAATCGAACGTTATTCTTATTTTGGGGTGTGGGATGCGCTTGAAACGCTTCGTTGAAAATTGAAACGCTTGAAACGGTGTGGGATGCGCTATTTTTTTAATGCAAATTAAATCCGAAGATGGATACCCACAGGATGGGGGTATCGTAGGATGGGGGCTATCTTAGGATACCCCATTCCTAGGATGGGGTATCCATAGGATGGGGGTATCCACAGGATGGGGTATCCACAGGATGGGGTATCCACAGGATGGGGTATCCACAGGATGGGGTATCCATAGGATGGGGTATCCATAGGATGGGGTATGTTAGGATGGGGTATGTTAGGATGGGAATATCGTAGCATGGGAGTATCGTAGGATGGGAGTATTTCAATTCAAATCGAATACAACAAATAAAGAATTTAGTTACTCTCGACACACATTGTGATGGATATTGGTGATTCGCTCAATCCTGCCATTGACATCGGTCAAATTGAAGGCGCTTTTGTACAGGTAAACAGAGAAATCTAAAAGCCATTGCACCAGAAACAGTGCGTTTACAAATTTCCGTGCACAATTTGATAGCTCTTCTCATTTTATATGAGCTTTTCCAGGGCTACGGTCTGTTCACAATGGAGGAGATCCGAGTGCGCCCGAATGGGATCCGTTTATCAAGGGGTAACAACTCTAAATCTTATCGAATTTGCATATAACTCTAATTTAAGACATTAATTTATACAGTAATCCCGAAATCTAGGCCCTGGTGTGTACAAAATTCCGTCAGCCGACGATGTGCCAAGGGATTTCCACGTTTCCCTCCTCAAAGGATCCTCGAATCCACACGCGATTTTCGCGAGTAAAGTAAGAGAATTTGTACTTATACTTATACTGTACTGTACTGTACTGAACTGGACTGTACTGGAATGTACTGGACTGCACTGTACTGGACTCTACTGGACTGTACTCTACTGCGCTGTGCTGTGCTGTACTGTACTGTACTGTACTGTACTGGACTGTACTGTACTGGACCGTACTGGACTGTACTGGACTGGACTCTACTGGACTGTACTGGGCTCTACTGGACTGTACTGGACTGTACTGGACTGTACTGGACTGCACTGTACTGGACTGTACTGGACTGTACTGTGTTGTACTGTGCTGTACTGTAATGACTAGATAGTTTTGTAGATATTAGCTAATCTTATATTATTTGTTTAGATATTCTTAAAAACGAAAAATATATTCAAAAATAATTCCCAGGCCGTTGGAGAGCCTCCACTTTTCCTTGGCTGTACCGTTTTCTTCGCGATTCGAGAAGCGATTCGGGCGTATCGAATTCAACAAGTATGGAGGAAATCTAGACGCATTATAATCTACAATAATTTAATGGAATCTACAATAATTATCTAAATATCAAATCACATCGTTCTCAAGTTTTGTCGAAAGATACAGCCAAATTTAAGGCCAAAAATAGATCACAGAGAATTTGGGCATAGCATAGTCTTCTGACTTCTGAGAATTTGATGTAAATGTAAATGTAAATTTACCTGACTAAAGGGCAATTAGCGATTTTGAAAGGTCTACGATAAATTGTTAGGATCAGCTTTTCGTGAAACTGTTAGACTGTTGAAGAGCCTCCACTTTGGAGTCAACGAATCGATTCGAGCTATTCATTTTATTGAATCTACCAAAATTTCTCGTATTTTTCGATAAAACTAAGAGAAAAATGCGAAAAAACATTGAAAAACCTTTATAATATTATTTCTAAAGAAAGTTATAAGCCTTTAAATCAAGATAATATTCAAAAACGAATCGTTTTCCAGGGTCAAAAGGGCTACTTCCGTTTCGACTCACCGGCCACTCCCGAAGCCATTCGAATGGCTTGCGAAGATGAGTTCACGAAAAAGGTTTGAGAATGAGAATTATCCAAATTATCTAGATATCTAGATCTTTATATATGCAATATTTTTCTTTATATAAAAGATATGCAAATTTTTAGATCCCCGACCTCCCCGATGCGCACTCCTTCACCCCGTGGACTGTTGCATTATAAGAAAACAAACAATCGCTTACTCAATTTTTATTTGAAGTGATAAAGAATTAGATTTTTAAGAAATTCTGCTAATGCGAGAGCGATTTATGATCTGAAAAATTGCACCCGATCTGGCAGATTCAGAGAGAGCTCGGTCAGCTCGTCAGCTCAGAGAGAGCTCGGTCAGCTCGTCAGCTCAGAGAGAGCTCGGTCAGCTCGTCAGCTCAGAGAGAGCTCGGTCAGCTCGTCAGCTCAGAGAGAGCTCGGTCAGCTCGACTGGTTCAATTACACTAGTTTAACTAGTTTAATTGAACCAGTCGAGCTAGTTTAACTGTAATTGTTTGAAAAATGGATTTGCAAGACTTTTGTTCTTTAGTTTCATAATCTAAGACAAATTCGGTCTGAAGATGAAAACTTTCAGGATTTGTAGAGTGTAAACTTAATTTTAAAATTTTCTGTTATATATAGCTTAGCGTCGGCCGAGACCAATATTCCATTCCGTTATATCAAGTTCCGTCATAGCGAGAGTCGACTATAATAGATTTTTTTTGTAAAATTAATTACCATTTAACTGAATAACTTTGAATTTACGTACCATTCTCGCTTCTCGAGATGGGCTGGAAACTTCTACCTCACGCCCCATACAGCCCTGACTTGGTCCCATCAAACTACCACTTATTGAGGTCTCTAAAGCAGTTCATCTCCGATCAACTGTTCAAGGATTGCCAGGAAGTCGAAAATGCGGTCACCAACTGTTTTTCGTCAAAAAGTCTCCAGTTCTTTGAAGATCGAATTATTGAATTGAGCAAAAGATGGCATGATTTCATAAATAATAATGGAGAATACCTTTTATATTAATCTTCTTTATTTATTGTTTTTTTTGAAATAAAAATTCGGGTCAAAAGAATTCGCATTATTTCCCCGCCAACCTAATATACCATTCGATGAGGAATCAAAAGCTCATTGGGCTTTTGATTGGCTTGGCTTGGCTTGGCTTGGCTTGGCTTGGCTTGGCTTGGCTTGGCTTGGCTTGGCTTGGCTTGGCTTGGCTTGGCTTGGCTTGGCTTGGCTTGGCTTGGCTTGGCTCAAATATAAACTAACATCTTGGTTACGGTAGTTTTCAAAAAAATAAATGCTTTTTAAAAACAAACTTTACTTGTGTTTTGTTTTGTTTTGTTTATTAGCTTCTATACAGGACCTCATTCCCATTGCTTGAACAAATCCCTCAATTTTTAAAGGACTTCGAAAACACTCTTGAAGTTGTTGAAAACTTGAAAAATTCAGGGAAAACCCTTCTCTTTTTTTTCCTTTTCTTTTGTGAAGTGAGTTTCCTTCCGGTCTCCCCATAGGTGTTCTTCTAAAAATCACATTTTCCTTGCTTCATTCCACCTGAATCTTAGCTCAAACTTTTTATAAATTCATCACTTCCTTGAAAGTCACAATTTTGATCAATTGCTCAATTGATTGCTGATCAATTGCTTTCTTTTGTTTTGAAGATCTTTCCCCCAAAGATGATCTTTTTGTTTTCGAATTTTTGAGAGGAACAAAGGCTCTGGTAAAATTTAACGACCAAATTGGCAAATTGGCAAAATCGGCAAAACGACCAAATTACTTCTTGGCAAATTTGCATTGACGGGAGTTTTGGCCCAATTGCTTGGTCAAAATTACATCCATACGATCAAATAAAGGTATTATCTATTGGTAGTTCTGGCCTAGCCTTGTTCGGACCTGACTTTGTTAGGCTTTTTAGATGAAAGAGCTACAAGAACGAGAACTGGTCAGGAACTTGAACTTGTCGATTGTCGAGCTCAAGAGGAACAGCTATATGGGTTTTTAAGTCAATTTCTACTATCACTAACCTCAAGCTTTTCTTCACATCGTCATCTGAAATTCGTCATTCTAAAAGCTGAAAAAATCCATCTATTGGTGTTGGAAACATTCCAAGCATGCCAAGGAATACTCTTTTCCAGGGTTGATTTCATTCGATGCCAAAAAAAAAGCCAATTACTTTCCTTTTCTAAAAGATCCCTGAATGTCCAATAATTATCCGTTTTTTTTCTGAAAGATATTTCGAAAAGAATTCCCTCTCTAGATAGATCTATTTAAAGGAAAAAGAGTCCCAAGATAGAGAATTTCTTGTCTCAAAGAGGGAAAATTGCTTCTCCCTTCCCTTTACAAAGATTAGCTCCATTTTGTGGTAAAGCCTGGGCATCAACAGCTCTTTTTTTTAAGAAAATATGTATTTTTAAAGAGTTTAGCTGAATTTTGATGATATTTTGAGAAAATAACCTATTTTTGGCTCAAGTTTAGCTTAGTTCTTCTGAAACTTGCGCCAATTAAACTAAGATCCCTCCTATAAAGATCCGACTCAAGATCCGACTCAAGTTCCGACTCAAGTTCCGACTAAAAAGGCCGAAACCCGAACCGAATTCAATAAAATGAATAGCTGAAATCGATTCGCCGACGTTGAAAACCCCCGGGTACAAATTGACAGCTGAATATCTTTTTGTGGCATCTACAAAGCAAAAGAGAGATCTCTGTAAATGGTTCTTTGTGCAACTGCATAAGCGATCACGATCTGGCAAATCCGTCTGGTATAAAGGGTTTCCCGTTTGTCTGTTAGTCAGCTGATCTCGCTTGCTTTAACGCTTGATATGCCAAAACTTTTGAGATCAATGTTTCCCTTAAATTTGGCTCGATTATTGTTTGAAATTCGACATATTATTAAACAATTTGAAACCAAATGGATTTGCCAGACCGTGAGCGATTATGCAGTTGCACAAAGAACCATTTACAGAGATCTCTCTTTTGCTTTGTCGATGCCACAAAAAGATTATTCAGCTGTCAGTTTGTACCCGGGGGGGTTTTCAACGTCGGCGAATCGATTGCAGCTATTCATTTCATTTCATTACTTAAACAGCAGCCAAATTGAGAGAATAATTCCATTTGATTTGGCTCTTTTCTTAGGATTTTTTGAGTGTGTTGTCAGTAAAATGCTAGACATTCAGTGTGCCAAGAAGGGTGTGTTTACAAGTTGATACAAGGTGAACAATTGAAGTTTACACAAACCTCTTTCAACTCTAATCAATATATTTCAATTATGTTTCATATTGCCTCCAAAATCCCATCAAAACGTGTTCATTCGATTTTTTCGGCTTTTCTAATGAAAAAGAAACACAAAAAAAATGAAGAGATTATCTCGAAAGGTCATTTTTTTTTCTTTTGAAACCTTAGAAATGTTTTCGAAAGATTTTTGAGCTTTATGAAAGCTTTATTGATATGAAATAGCTTTATTTAAAAGGATTTGACTTTAAATATCTTTCATTTTGTTTAGATTTAGATTAGATTTAGATTATATTAGGTTGATGCATAAGTCTTTTCGTTTTTTTCGTACTTCTGTTAAAAAGTAACAAATTCACGAATTAATCTATAGTTTGCTCTATAAAAAAAGTGTTTTTTTGTTCAATTTGCATCTTTTTAAATGAATTTCGGTTCACTTTGAAGCAAATTCGAGAGTGAAAAACGCCTTTTTCGTAAAAATCTATAAAAAACTCTACGGGAAAATTGGCTGAATGAATTTCTCTGAAATTTTGGCGAAATATCAAACGCTTTTTTTCTCTATCTTTTATCTATTGACACGAAGATAGGCTTTCTTTAGCTAAGGTGTCTAAACCGCATCATCGAGTTAGCCCTTTTTGACTACCCGACTTCATACTCTCAAGAAAATCCAGGCATTAAATATTTTTAAACCCGTTTTAATGTTATTTTGCAGAAAAATAATTGCTTTTTCTAATGAAATCAACCGTAGTTTAATTCGTGCATTTGTTGGCTTGAAACGGCAGACGAAAAGGAACGAAAACACTTATGCATCAACCTAATATTTCATTTTCTCGATCTCATTTCGTTTTAGGATAGCTTTTTTAGTGATTCAAATTCGCAAAATTGTATTTTGAAGCTTTAAGTTGAAGCTTTAACTTCTTAATACTATTATTAGTACTTCTTTGTACAAAATAGTACTATTGTTAAAGCTTTACCTTCTTAATACTATTGTTAGTACTTCTTTGTACAAAATAGTACTATTTTTAAAGCTCTAGCTTCTTAATACTATTTGTTGAATATAGATTGTATCCAATATTCCTTGGTTCAAGGTAGAAGAATTTATTGAAGCACGGAGGGTTTATATACCGAAAAGATAAGTGCTAAATGTTTTGAAAGGTCTATGTTTTTGTCTGGGGAAATCGCGGAAAGCTTTTAGAGGATAAAGGAGGATCAAAGGAGGGAAATATTGGTCGATAGACTTTTAAAAGAAAAATAGATTTTAAAAGAAATTAGACTTTATCGGAAGAATTTCCGAACATTCCCGGCCAAAAGGAAAGGAAGATGGAAACAACGAAGTAAGGTTCTGAACAATTTACAAAACAAGATAATCACATATGGAACGATGAAGAGCAATGCGATTATTGTGATGATCATGGAGATGTCCTTGAGGATGAATTCGTAGAGTAGTTGTTGAAGCCATGACGCGCTGCCCACTGAGACATCCGTCATTTCCGGCTTCATCACCGTCCATTCGCTACGGGTTTGCTCGATGTAGAAGAGTCGTCCCCGTAGTTGAGTGTTGGTTTTTCCTCCTGGGCAGGATAGTTGGCAATCCATGTCGATGTTCGATTCTTCGAAGTTGATCGTCGTCTGTCGTTTTGAGTGAGAACCGTCACAGACGAGTGTTGTTGTTGAGTTTCCACATAGAAGGTGTCCCGACGTCTGGCCGAATTCCGCTGTACAGACGTAGTCGAGTACGGCCCCGATGTCACACGAGAAACATCCCTTGATGCTTAGGTCCTCGAGCTGGCAACGGGCCACGTCCACCCTGGTGGTTGTAGTCATTCCTTGGATGTTGATGGCCAGTGTCGTTATTGTGTTTCCGGCGAGTCCGGTGACCGTCTTTGAGCGGTCGTCGAATTGGAATAGGTCTCCTCGTATTGAGATCGGTAGTCTATGTGATGTCCAATCCGGTCCGG